TGCAGTCACAAAGACTGTACTGACTGACTGCAATTAGTGGAAAACTCAATTTCTTCCTCCTCTCCTGCTTCCTCCCTTCCTTCAAACAGCAGTCAGCATGTTGCGCTATCCCAAAAAGGTCAGCGGCCATAAATGGTGTAGGTTATCATTGTACCACTGATATGTAGGCTGATTTGTATTTCCTGTAGGTGGTGTTGGGTTCAATCTGCAAAATCTTCATATTTTTCCGTAACATTTTGTGGCCTTCCTCGTACTGGGCTGATTTTGATTTTTTGAGCAGACCTTGCATAGTATTGTCTTTATGCTCCATAATGCATACGTCTAAAGATCTGCCCCTTTTGACAAACACATACAATACTGTACACGCACTGCTTCATCTGCTGTGTATCTCTAACAGGTCCAGTCATCAGCAGTGTATTATGAGTGTATGTCTAGTTCTGAAAAAGTTCCTAACATGGAAGCAGCTCCCATTGCATCAGATTTCTTTTTCACAAAAAACTGCAAACATATGGGATAAGATGATGGTGCCATGAAATGTTCTGCATGAAGGCCACTTGCTACTCCCTGACTTCATAATGGACTCAATGAACTGTTGTGGGCGTTCACTAGCAGATCCTCACACATGACCTTGGCTTTACAAACCAAGCTACAAATAACCCCTCTTTTCACATCAAGGGGGTGATCACACTTAAAATGTAAATAATGTCCTGTACAGGTAGGTGTCTTGATTGGACCAAGGTGACCAAGAAGGGAGGAGCAGTAGTAATTTTTCTTCCACTGTGAATTGTATGGTAAGTCAGTGGATGATGAGGTGCTGAAAAAACTCTTGTAATCTTGCTGCTCCATGTGGCTAACCACAGTAGTATCAGCATATCTGAGTCAATACTGAGTTTGTGGTCTGCTGTATCCAGTGCTATTTCCTTAAAATGTTCCATAAATTGGTTACTGATCACTGAAGATTATAAGCTTCCTCTGCCATTCCCTCGTGTTAATACAATTTATCTGCAAAATGGAAGTACACAGTTTTTACATAAATGTCCAATAATTCCATGGTGTGTTCAACTTGCAAGGGTGAGCAGTTTCAAAAAGAAGGATCCATATTAAGTCTATTTCTGATGACATGTAAGACTTCTTCCACCATTATGTTGATTCACAGACTGACTACATTGAAACTAACATGGAAGTCTCTGTTTTGAAAGTTAATCTCCTTCATTAATTTTGTAAAGTGTTCTGAGTTCTTGACATAGGAGCGTGTATTGCCAACTAAAGGGCTCAGGATATTAGGGAGAAACTCAGCAGGACAGCCAATGGAGATAAATACTGGCCTAAGGTGGATGTCTCAGGTTTATATATCTTTGGAAGTCCAGAGAGGGGAGGTGGTTTACTGCAATATGGTGTCAATTTATTCTTCAAACCAGTCAGGAGGGCACATTTATGCTTGGCAAGACATTTCCATTACCTCCTCTTATTTTGTGTCATGGGATCCTAATGTAAAATTCATAAACCCTTGGTTCTAGTAAACTAATTATCTCTTTCTTGTATGTGGACCCATTCAACACTACGACAGTTCTGTCACCCTGCAGAATGCTTATCTTCTTGCTCTTTTTTTTTTTTTTTGTTTTNATCAGATGTTATACAAGTATTACAAGGGATTAGCCAACACATCTGGTAGCTCATTCAATCCGTCACTCTCACATTTTCATTTCCATCACAGAAGAGAAAGTTATCACATTACAGCTCTGTCCAATTTAAGATCACATTACAATGTTATATGCTTATGTTGGTGCTAGATGGGTGTCTCATTTATTTAATATTTATCAGTACTGGTTTATCTGCCATTAGGTCCCACTTGTATATAGGAAACTTCATCTGCCTGAATTTTAGTCCTCTGTACTTGCTTGGTTTATATTCATATCTATCTGTCTTATCTGAGATTTTAAAGGTTGATAAAATCATATTATTGACTTTACAGTATCTATAGTTAGACCCTGGCCATAGGTACAATGTTTCATGCATGTGGCATTTTAAATTTTTGTCTTAACTCTCATGGATGGTTTCTGCTGTTTGGTTTACATATCCTGCCTTCTTTTGTTTCTGGTGTCTTGAGATAGAGATCAGTTCTAATGACTGGGCCAACCTGTGTAGGCTATTATCTGAGGATGGAGACAGAGCCCAGTCCCTGAATTAAATAAAAAGATGATGATGGATAATGTCAAAGACAGGGAGACAAATCTAAATATGATATATAGAAAACATACAAGACATTCGATCCAGTAGGGAATATTCAAAATTCACAGTATATACACTTAACAATGAACACTCTCAAGAGCCCACGGAACAAACTATCACAAAAATTGACCATGCAATGAAAGGATAAACCATGAACATTAAGGAGAATTTACACATCTACCTGTATAGATTACTCAATAAGTTAATTGACAAGCAGAAATATAAGGGAAACAAATGCCTGTTCAAATAAAACTGAGAAACTGGAAAAGAAAATCTCTAGATAGGCAACTCTGGAGTTGTCATTTAAAGGAGGCCAAGGTTCAACTTTGGGCTGTCAAACCATTGCAGATGATGAACTGTCTGTTTGATCTACTGAATGACACAAACAGGTGGACCTAAATCGTACAAACTCTGCATCCCCCTTAAGATGGGATTACTTGCACAAGGTCTGACAATCTGGCTGCAGCAGCCCTGCAGACATCACACAGAGAGAGCAGAGAAACCCCATCAAATACAGCCTCACTCTTCACACAGGTAAGGTGCTTTTTCCATTCGCTTCTAGCAGATAAACTCTTAATTAATTTTTCTAGCATAATATTCTAACTTCATTACATATTCAATTATGATTAGTTCATTAATGTAAAAGATTCCATTTATGGCTTAAAATCATGAACATCCTGATGATCTATTCAGCATCCCATCTGCACATAGATTTTACAAAGTTTACAACTAAAATTAATAAACAATACGCAATGCATGATGCATTTTATGTACAAGGCAATAAAATAATTTTAAACATTAAAGAGTCCTAAAATCATGTGCAACCATAGGTAACATCCCTGAGATTGTTCCTATGTATCATATACCCTTAAGGAAGACACTGCAGATGTAATAATATTAATATGACAATAAGCAGTGTCAAAAAAGCCCAATAGTAATAATATATACAGAGTGTAAATAAATATATGTTACAACGCTCTGTGGTAGATAGAAGGGTTCAATTTCATCATATTTTGATAATACAACCACGTCCAGAATCACTTCCTATTGGCACTATGGGTCACAAAAGTTTCCAAGAGGATGCATAAGTTTTAGGGGATGTTACTGTTGTTTTACATCGTAAAAGTTCCTCAAAATGGTGGCCGCCAACTTCATCACATGGTCTGCACCACCTGGCCATGTTATGCTGATCTCCTTGGAAGATTCTCAGTATTTCCCGGATGGTTCCAGCTGCTACTTCAATTCTTGCCAGAAAATGACGTTTTGTCTCCACTGCAGTCTTGTACACCAGGCTTTACATGTACCCCCAGAGAAAGAAATACAATGGAGTCAAGTCAGGGGAGCGAGGGGTCCAGGTTATTGGACCTCCACATACAATCCATCTGTTGCCAAAGGTTTCATCCAAATACTGATGGATGACATTAGTGCAGTTTGCTGGGGAGCCATCATGCTGGAACTACATTTCACAACGGACTTCCAAAGGCACCAATTCCAGCATATCGGGTAAGGTCTCTTGGAGAAATGTTAGGTAAATGTCACCAGTAAACCGCAGAGGTAAGAGATAAGGGCGTACTCCTTCACATTTCAGAGGCCCTAGCATGCAAACAAAGCATTTCTGGACATGGTGGCATTAACAAAATATGATCAGATTGAACCCATGTATCTACCACAGAGCATTGTAACATGTTTATTAACACCCTGTATAACGATCAAGCACCATTTTCTGGAAGCTTCTTCCATCAACCAAAATTACTGGACATCAATCTACCTTCTTGCATTGCCAAAAACAACAAATCCCATTCACAGGCATCTTGATACTCTAAGCAAAGCAGAAACAGCTATTATTATTTCACCAGTTCCAAATGGAGCATATAAAAAAAATCAATGAAACCTGTCTACAAGAAGTAAACAGAAATTTGAGAAGCAATTCACAGAACTCCCAAACAAAACTTTATCCCAAAGCTGTTCCAGGCAAATTCATCAACTCCACATTAGGCAAAATGTCACCCACATACCTTCAGGTGCATCCCTCCCTCTGATCTAGGTTTCACGTGATCCTCTACTTCTGCCTCTTATTAATTTACTTAGTTATTAGGGCAATTAACCACCAGCATTATTCACAGAATACCATGTTCACTTAACCGCGAAAACTGTCTTCTATTGCTCCAAGAAATAACTTTCTATTTCTCCAAGAAACCACTAGTCAGATGCCAAAGAAAATATTGTCCAACATCATACAACTCAAACACTAAATACACATACTGCATGCATCAGCCTCATATGTTCATCTACAACGTAATAAATCAAAAACACATTTTCACCTTAGCATAATATAACTTCATCCTGCTTCAGGAAACCCATGTAAGTACACATTCAGCTCTTCAACCCCTCAATGAAAAATTTTGCCCACCTCCAGTGTCTACAGGCATCTTCCTAATATAACACTATAACAGACACTTTCTCAGTGTACCAATCCAGCTCAAGGGGCATCAGTTCCCTCCTGATCTCTGTGAGAATAAGAAATCCAGATTCCAAGAAAATGGTAATTCCTACTACCACCTCTCATTACACAGGGCAGAAAGTGATATTTTATTTGCATGCCACAAACATATATGCATAAAGACACAGAAAATATGCACATGCATGTGCATACAGACTCACTCCAAACATTTATATCCAAATAAGGTCATGATATATACAATTACTTAAATAATCCCAAAAGCTGATAGATTATGCATAAAATTGCTAGAGAAAATGATGACAAGGTTCACCTCAGAAATGCGCATGTAGATACCACGATTGTTCTGTCCAATGTCGAAGTAGAAGTTCTTATTTTCCACTCTCATGTGCCGTCCCTCAGGTAGTTCGCCTTTGAATCCTCCATCATCAGTACCAAATTCTTCAAGGAGATCTGTCAAAGCATCGCGGAACTCTATCATCCCCTGAGCAGGAATGGCAATTTGTGACCTTGGACCTCCTCGTGTGATGGTCTGCGATACCTGTGTACCCAACACATGGAACACACTCACTCGCAATATACAGCACACAGGCAAAGTCTCTTGAAAAGAATATTTGGCATTAATTTCGATCCACCAACCTCAATAGGTGCAACTGTTTCACAGATGCTGTCCTTAAATCCTACAAATGTGTGAGGATAATTTGATACCTTTTTTGTTTAGGTTTTTTTCACAGGTAACAGTCACATGGATTTAAGTCTCAATACCTTGTACACCAAAATTTGCAACCCATCAGTCTGTCTTCAAACTTCACATTTGGAACATTAACTGGCTCACTAACTCCCTGGGGCTGAGGCCTCCCTGAGAAGCCACCAGCCACTCAGTTACACAAGAATTTCCCAATATTTTATGGAACCTGAAGGTTCATTAACATGTTCAAAACAGCCCACCAGTGGTCCCTACCCTCAGCCAGATGAATGCGGTCGACACCATTCCATCCTATTTCTCATCCATTTTAATAATATCCTCCTGCCTATATGAAGGACTTCCTACTGGTGTCCTTCCTTCTTGCCTTCTTGCTAAAATCCTTCCCCTTCTTCCCAATGCATGCTACATGCCATGCTCATCTCCTCCCCCCTGACTTAATCATTCTATTTGGCAAAAAGTACAAGTTGTGAACTCATCACACAGCTTTCCTCAACCTCTTATCATTTCACCCCCTTTCAGTCCAAATATTCTCCTCAGCACCCTGTTCTCAAACATCCTCAGTCTATGCTTTACCCTTAATATCACAGGACATTATTTCACATCCACACACAGCAACATATAACATTACAATTTTGTATATCTTAATTCTTCTACTATCTGAAAGCAGATGAAAAGACAAAAGGTTCTGAACTGTATGGTAGAAAACATTACATGAATTTAATCTGCAATTTTCAACTTTTTATCTGTTACTGTTGTTCCCATACATTTGAACTTTTAACATATTTTCAAAGGCTCTGTTAGCTACCTTTATTGTTAAGACTGTGCCTTATATACTGGTAGACAGCAACATATACTTGGTTTCTGCTGTGTTTAATTCTAGATGAACCTCCTTACTAGTATCAATTTGCATTCTGTGTTTATCTTTGTGGTATCTGTGTTACATACCAGTAGATTTACATCAACAGCATAGACCAGAAGCTGGTGTCAACCACATAGTTTCAGTCCTATTATGTACGGACTCTATTACAGGTTTAATTTAAACACATTTTATTAATTTCTTTATTGAAAGTCGTCATAACAAAACAATTAATAATATATATCTGTAGTTTCGAGTAGTACTTTACTAGATGATTCGGCTTTCAAGAAGCCTTCATCAGGTAAATACATTTAAAAACTTCTTTAGCTATTGAATTGCGAGCTAATTATATGATTTATAACTAGGAACAATATCAAACATTTACTGAGAATACATGAAAATATGAATGATACATTTAACTTAAATAGAGTTTACCAATTACATGTGCAAAGTGTAAACAGAAATATATAGGACAAACTGGGTGAACATTTAAAATCAGATTTAGAACATATAAGAGACAGAAAACGGTGGACAAAATTCCAAATTCGCCCAACATATAGTGGACACTATACATGAATACCGAACAATAGATCAAACTATGGGAAAAAAGGGCGAATGTTGGACTCATGAAAGATTTCATACATATGAAATCAGCAAGCAAAATATCCAATTGAATGACAATCTTAACGAAACACTTAACCCAATACATGACATGATAACCACAGCCTACCAAGCATAAACAACTTCAGCCCCCTCCTATACATCCACTACACCCCTACCTACACAGTGCTCCATAACAACATACATCCCAAATCAATTGTAATCCATCTCCTCACCAGATCAGACATATACACATAAATGGAGGCTCCTGTCAAATAGAAAGTATATTATATAACTACACTGCACACAACCACTAAGAATAGTTATCACTGGTATATTACATACAGGAAATCAAAATTGAATAATAACGTAGAATATAGCAACGGACCTCCAAGCTTCATAACATTTGTTTGTGTATACAACATGTTTGTATAAGCAACACCACATATTATTACAATTACAACTACCTACTTTGAAATATAATAATATTGTTGCATGCCGGGAATCCATGGAAATGCAATAATAGTGGACCATTGCCTAGGAATACCTTAAGCAACAAACACATTTCCCTGGAGATGAAAGGACAACAAACGCGTTTCCCCAAAGACGAAAGACAAAAGACAGTTCGTTGCATGACAGCAGCCAAGACTGAAGGCTCCTAATGGTGCATTCTATTCCGTCCGAGACCATGTTATTAGTCCAGCTTCGAAGGGACCAGACAGTTGACAATAAGCTGAGTTCCGGAAGTTGCTGAGAACAGTTCAGTTTGACTTTGACTACAGCAGAAGCAGTAACTGTGATACTGCAACTGTGGGTGATAATGGTACTTGAAAGTGTACAAGAGTGTGGCCAATAAACGTATTTGCTAAATCTGAGAATTAGTTGTCGCATTACACAGACAACCTGTAACAATATGTACAACTATTAACTATATTTTATTTATGTAACTAGTTTCATTTTAAGGCTTTTACTTTCACTGTAATTTTATATTGTATATTATTGTATAAAAGTCTAACATTACATAATGTAATTAGCATGCAATTCAAGAGCTAAAGAAGTTTTTAAGTATATTTACCTGATGAAAGGCCACGCCATACCTCAAGCAGTTAGTTGCTCGCTTCCCACCGCAGTGGCCCGGGTTCGAGCCGAGGTCTGGTCAAGTGGGATTTGTGGTGGACAAAGTGGCGCTGGGGCAGGTTCTCTCCGAGTACTTCGGTTTCCCATGCCAATCTACATTCCACCAAATAAATCATCATAATCATCCAGGGCAAGTACAATAGGCCAATCAGTGTCTGACGTGCTGAGTGAACCTAGCTGGACTCCACCCTTACATGTTTCAATCCTTATGGATCATCTTCAGAGGGAACATAAATACTTATTTGGAAACTACTATCACAATAGGTGTTCTGAGTGCTAAATTACATACATACACACACACACACACACACACAATGCCTGGAATACACAATATTATATTTTTTTCACAATCACAGCAGCTTTCCTATTATTAAATATTTTAAATAACTTTGTTATTTAAGTTAAAATTTATAAACCAAGTAGGTTTGTGTCACTTCTCCTATCGTCTTTCTTGGAGTAAAACTTAAATAGTCACACTGGTCGGAGTTGTTTTGTCTTTGGATTTCTGAATATTTTAACAAAATAGAAACACAAGGAGAACTGATATTTATTACAGTGAGTCATCTTCTGCAGAGTCAAAATGACACAAAATAAATAGTAACAGAGGCCCTGCATAGTAATGCTGGTGACTGTCTGATTCCCCACCCACTTATCACTTAAAGCATGTTCAGCTACAACTTCCATGGTCTTCTTGACTTTAGGCAGCTGAATTCGGCCTTTCAGGAATGCAGAAATACAAAGTGCCATTCAGAATTATTGTGTTTTTGGATTTCATCCATTGTCCAGTATTCTAAATACTGGAAAACACATTCTGGTAATAGCGGCATGGATACAACATTGGAGTGCAATTATTCATATGAAAGGAAGAGATGCAATTAGGAGTCTAGAGCAGATGTGAGATGAATAAGCTACAAAGAAAAATTATTTGTACCACTGACAAACCATGCGATGTGAAATACTCTACAACGTTGGAAAGAACAATATAAAATATATACAAGGAAAGAAATAATTATAACCATACAACAAAAGGTTATCATACCAAGAAAGAACAGGTAATCATTTTTAAATCTGTTATGCATGTGGCCTCAAAAACTGAATACGTGTGGCATGAGGGCTCCTTAACATATGATGCAACTCTGTACAGAGACTAGAGCCTACAGACTATGGGATGGAAAACCATGGAATAAGGATCCATTTTCCAATTGGGGCATGAGATTTCTCTTCCACGCAGTGCCCAGAATGGCTTTAGACCCACCCAGTCTCTGAGGGCTGTATCTCTAGGGTAACTGCAGCCAGATCATGAAGCTGAGAACCTATCTCCATCTAGTGCTGAAGTTAATCACGTGTGACTGTACATCAGCAGTCCCCCATATACCTGCACGAAACAGTGCTCAATTAAACACAGGGGTAATTTTACCTTTACTCATGATATAGAGGATAATATTCCCTTTTGAACATATTTTAAGAACCCTGAAGACTAAACTAACAAGCATACTATTTTTGGAAAAGGTTCTTGAATAATGTGTCATTTAGACCTAAGATTTCTCCTGTGACACTCTCAGAAGCTTAAAGCAACATAACATTACTATAAATAAGAGAGGCCTAGATTTGAATCCATGCCACTTTCCCGGAAATTTTGATTTCTGTAGCACTAACAGAACGCCTTCAATACAAGCAGAGAGATACAGACTATTATTCCATGTGGAGCAGCAAGGAGGCGAGAATGGCCAATTAGCACCATTTATTTTAAACCATAAACCTTCCTTTCATGAAGGATTCAACATTCCTCCTGAACTACCAATTGTAAAGTAGTCAGATTCAGTACAAATGCCCTTGAGTCTTCCAATTACATTTCTTCCGGTGAGAAGTTTTACACTATGTTTATGGAATGATAATTTATAGCAGTTCAAATATGGTGAAGACTCAAATTTTTTGTAACCTTCTGCAGTCACGCTCAAACAAATTAAAAAAATACTGTGATATAAGGACTCCATCATTGTCTGCTGTGTGATAACAACTGGGCAAACACATAACAATGCCTAGCCCAGTGCTATACAACGACCCCTACAACAGTTAGACATTGTTAGAAACGGTACCTTCTGTAGGGTCTGAGATGAGGTTTCACAAAGAGCTTGAGACCATGACAAATGGCAGACCCATCCCCTCATCATGGAGGGCCCCCGCAGCTGCAAAACCACAACTATTTGATAGTAACATAAATCTGGTCTTCAGCCCCAGATGG